AAAATACTAAGGAAAATCAAAGAAAAGGTGTTCAGTTATCACTAATTGGTTTTTATGCATCAAAAGTAAATTATTTTTTCAAAACCACAATTAGATACCATCTCAGAACCATTAGGATGGCTACTATCAAAAAAACAACAGAAAGTAAGAAGTTTTGGCAGGAGTGTGGAGAAATTGGAACACACTTGTACTCTGCTGGTGAGAACATAAAATGTTACAGCAGCTGTGGAAAAACAGTAGAAGAGTTCCTCGAAAAATTAAAAATGGAATTACCATATGATCCAGCAATTCCACGTCTGGTTATATGCCCAAAGAATTGAAACCAGGGTCTCAAAGAGATATTCGCACGCCCATGTTCATAGCAGCATTATTCACAATAGCCAAAAGGTGAAAGCAACCCCAGTGTCCAATGATGGATGAATGAATAAAGAAAATGTGGTATATCCATACAAAGAAATACCATTTAGCCTTAAAAAGGAAGACAACTCTGACACTTGTTACAACACAAATGAATCTTGAGGACATTCTGCTAAGCAAAATAAGCCAGTCACAAAAAGACAAATTCTATATGATCCCCTATATGTGAGGGATCTAGAACAGTTAAATTCATAGACAAGGAAAGTAGAATGGTGGTACCAGGGGCTGGGAAGAGAGGGAAATGGGAAGTTACTGTTTAACGGGTACAGAGTTTCAATGCTGCAAGATGAAAGAGTTCTGGAGATGGCTGGTGGTGACGGTTGCATTAAAAATAACTACTACTACTGAACACTGAAAATGGTTAAGATGGCAAGTTTTATTGTGTATTTCACCACACTTAAAAATATTTGAAAAAAATAAATTATTTTAATTATACAATAAGGATCATGTTGTGGTCAATGCTTCACATGCACTGGGGACAGGCAGCATAACTCAAAGTTCTAGTGAAGACCCCAAAGCCTTTCTGACCCCAGACCACTGCTGTCTCACAGGGGAAGAAGAGAAGCCCTGCTTTGTTGACCTGCAAGGAACCATTTTCTGCCTTTAGACAACAAAACTTTTTGGTTTTGTTCCTATGTTGCCAACCAGACTTCACAGCACTAGGGCTGACACATAAACCAGCAGAGCCACTGACTCATTCCCGGATAGATGAAAATGGTGCTCATGGTGCTGCTTGCTCAAAAGCTCCGGCTGAGGGGAGGGAGGAAGAGAAGTTAGAACTCGCTCCCTCCCCAAACCCAGTTCTGTGAGCTTAATATATACTAAAGGGTCCAAATATTTACTTACTTGTTCAGAAAAAAAGTTTGAAACTTTTGGTATGTACATAAATCATGACAAAAGCACATTTAATACTACAGATAAGCTGTTATACAGTTTTAGAGTTATAAAATGCCCACTAGTCTGATGACTTATGGTTAACGATAACACTGGAAACCTAAGCAGTTCTAGGACGCATAGAGTTGAAAAGCTGCCCACAGGTAAGCGCAGGGGATATAATGATCAGACTTAAAGATCCTACAGCTTTATGTTTAAAAGCAGACTAGCCACTGAATCACATGTGCTTTTTTGCCCCTGTTTTCAGCAGAATGGAAAAAAAAAACTCGATTCTAGCATATGGAAGAATTTCAACATTTCTGAGATAAACACCAGTGACCAAAAACTGATTTAAAAATATTGTTCAGTAAAATTTTATTTCTAAATTAGACCAGCTGGACAGTTTCAAGTGGCTAAAAATATATTTAGTGACCCTGGGCATTTCCTCCTTTCATCTTATTTTCTAAAAGTTAGTGGTTTTTGTATCTTTAGTGTTGAGGACCTTGATTTATGAAATCATAAAAGCTTACTAGCTTTACTAAAACATGGTGACTTTGTATCAAGCTTTCTCTTGGCTCCATATAAATTGCATAAAAAGTCTAAAATGTAAGATTTTAACACTAAGCTCTTAACAGGTGTGGACCATGTTTTCTTATCCTCCGAAATAATTTGCACATAGGCAGTGCTTCATGAACTTTGTCAAATTGAATTTATCGGCCTGTTACATTAAAACATGTACATTTATAATTACCTGAATAATTTCTCCCTCAGCATTCTAGTCCACAATATGACATATTTACAGGTTTACCAAATTATAACTAATATATTTTGATATTCCTAATATACTGACTTAAGGCCTATAAGGGGTACAAAAATAGTACCCTGAATACTTAATTCTTCTTATCATTTTGTAAAAATGTATATTGGAAGAGAGGCTTTAACATTTCTGAACATTTTCCAATTCTAGCTGTTGTATGACAGCAATGACCTTTAAAATTCACCTAATGTTTTGGAAATCTCGTAAAGTCAGGACTCAACTCTAGGGAAATAACGCAGAAACCAAGGAATGAAGTGAAAATTTATACTCACCCTACACTTGAACTATGTCATGCTGGGAATTCGTAAGTAGAGTATAATGAGCCTTTTCTAACAGACTCCTAGGACTGTGCTAGAGCTAGTCTTTAGGGCTGAACAACAAAGAAAGAGGATAGTGTTGTCTAAAGTAGTTCTTTTCAGTCTTTAGCCAAGTGCATAAGAATCACTGGAGAACTTGCTAAAACTCAGATCGCTGTGCCCCACTCCCAGGGATTCTGTTTCAGTAGGTCTGGAGTGCAGCCAGAGATTCTGCATTTCTTACAAGCTTCCAAGTGATGCTAAAGAGTATAGACAAAACAATGTGTTGTTGGGATTAATATGCCCTAAGATTTTTCACATTCTTTAGATTTCTGAGAAAAACAGAGAAGTAATTTAACATAAAAACCAGAGAGGTAGAAATATTTTCGTTGTATAATAAAGACAAAATAGAGAAGAAAATTTTATGAAGTATGCAATGACATCTTTAGGGAGACTAAATGTGCCAGCTTTGTTTAGCAGGCCAGGGGCTTGGGCCTAAAATGCATAGCTACACTCAGTTGGACAAAGATTTATGTGGAAATAACCATACATGGCTAGAAGAGGAACCTGCCAGGTTTCTAACATTCCGGTAACCCAGCCAGATCTGTCCTGGTTTCATAATTTGAGCTCAGAAAAGAGCCTACACAACCTTGACTGCCGTTGAACAGAATCAATACAGTATTCTTTGGAAAACATCTTGCTAAATTAATGCCAAATGCAATATGGACACTACAAAGGCCTTGATCTACTTTTGAAAAAACAAGGAGGACACAAAGAATCAACAAAAACTGAACATATAGAGGAGATTCTCCAAGTAAGAAAAATGTTTCCTGCTTTTTTTTTTAAAGGAAAATAGTTGTTTTTATTCAAAATTCTTGTGTAAGGCACAGTGCTTGGCTCAGTGAGGAAAGCGAGCATAATTGGCCCTCCTCCCCACCCTGCAATGACTCTAGCACAGGGGAGAAAGACACAGGCATATACGCTGGCACCATGCACAGGGTAACAGGCGATGAGGGCTACAAAAGCTCTACCAGAGATTTCCACACTTCAGTCTTTCCTGTGTTCCCTTCATGTTTTTTTTTTTCCTATCTATTCTCTTATTCATCTAATACTTTTGCTTTGTTTAAATTTCAAAATATTGAGGTACAAAAGTTTTTGTTACATGGATTCACTCTATAATGCTGAAGTTGATGCTGTTTTTGAGCTGAATCTAAAGAAAGATCATGATTTCTTCTGGCTGCACTTACACAGTTGGAGGTTGTTTTCAAGATGCTAACTCATATTTTTCTCCTGAAATCACCAGCAAGCATTGAACACTGGGCTCAATCATATATAACAGGGCTCCCTCAAATTGCTACGTATATTTGAAGGATATGCATATCCTGGTCAAAAATCAGTCTGTAACATGAATTGAAGTAAATCAATAATGGTTCTATTTTCACTCACAGAAAACAAATTCTGCCATCTCTAAGTTGTGCTTGGATGAGCCCAAGAGAAAACATACTTTCAGGTCATTATATAGTCAACTCAAATAGGTCAATCACTTTAATAAAAAGGGGGAATTAAAATGCAATAATGGCTGGGTGTGGTGGCTCACGCGTATAATCCTAGCACTTTGGGAGGCCAAGGTGGGAGGACTGCTGGAGGCCAGGAGTTTGAAACCAACCTGGGCTATGGAGTGAGACCCCGATCTCTACAAAAAATTAACAAATTAGCTGGGTGTGGTGGTGGTGTGTGCCTATAGTCCCGGATACTTGGGAGGCTGAGGTAGGAGGGCTGCTTGACCCCAAGAGTTTGAGGTTGCAGCGAGCTATGATCGCACCACTGCACTCTAGCCTAGGAGACAGAGGGAGACCCTATCTCAAAATAAATAAAATAATAAATAAATAAATACTACTACTAAATAAATGCTAAAATCTTGCATAGTTAACATACCGAATTAAAGGAGTTATGAATCTTGAGAAAGAAACCCTATACCAATGACTTTTAAAACAATTTGTTTTCCAAATATTATTATTCTTTTCTTTGCAACCAGATCTGTGCCATCAATTTGCTGGAATGATATGTTCTATCTGCTGTAGAAGATTAATAAAATTCGATCTAGCAGTCTCTTAGCAACTGCAGATGCTTTTAAAATCCTTTGGCTATACTCTTCATAATATAGGTCAATGGTCTCAAGTTTTTCAGAGTAGTGATGCTCAAGTCAATCTTGTGTGAAGTTTAATCTAAATTTATTATGATTCATAGCCTCAATTCAGAGTTCTAGAAATTTTCAGTTGTTACAGTCCCAAATTCTGAAAGGTTAGCTCATCGTGAGAAATAATATGCATAATGTTGGAGCAATGCTAGATTATAAAATTTATCATTAATAAGAACACACACAAAAGTAAGGTGACTTTTCAGAGAGACATAAATTTAAAGAATTAGTTGTAACCTTATTCAGTGCCAACATGTTGATTACTTTCTATAGATATCTGTATTGATTTAGACATTTGGTTTCAAATGCTGTCATTGGTAAATTGCCCTTGTTCATTTGTACGCTTCAAAGTATAGTAAGGAGCTGTACAGTGGAGGTGGTTTCTCTTTTCATCACTTACCTAGGTTTTGCCACATGCTGAAAATTTCACAACCCATTGTTACCCGCATGTCACCATACCTGAAATAGAACAAGAAACCAAACCTGACACAAGCCTCCAGAGCAAAGAAATATTTGTGTGTCTTTAGGATACGATCTATCATTCTGAATTATAAAACAATATGTTTTTTATTAAAGATGTTTAATGTACATGTCATGATGCCTCTAAATCAAGCCCTCATATAAATCTTTCAGTGAAACACATCTGTCTCATAATTTTTTGCTTATATAATAATTTTGAATCCTGAAAGACTTGGGATAAAAAAATGTGCAAACAAGTTCAAAATATTGACATTTCCAAAAAAGATTGTTTCTTATCCTCTTGGTTACTGCTTCTCTATTGTGTGATTTACAGTTATGGACACTCTGATTTATGAAACATTTTAATAAAACATCTTTTAAAAGGCAAATCCTACCCAATTATACAGTGGTACTTACTTTTCTAACACCTTTTTCTTTTTGGAAGGTGTGAACATCTCCAACTGCAGACACAACTGGTTTATAAAAATGACTGCAAGGTAGAAGTAGGAATCCCAGATCTAAAACAAGAACAAGATATCTCAATACTATGGTGTTACACCAACAGTTACAGGAAAAGTGACATGGTATCTTGGAGTTACTTCAAAGTGATAAGTAGATGAGGTATAGTTGAAGTAAGATTGGCCATACGTTGATAATAGTTGATGCTACATATGGGTACATGGGGGTTCATTTTACTACTCTATTTTTATATATGCTTGAAATTTTCTATAACAAAAAAGTAAACCAAATAAATATTATCCATTTATACATCGCTTCAAAGCTGTATCCCAGGTTTCATGAGTTTTTTGGTATACGCTAACTGGTAGATGTTTGGTTTCTCTTATAACATGTCCGCATATCTCCAAGGAGGTGGAGGTATAAGATGAATTACTTTATTCCTGTGTGACTTCATTTTTGAAACTCCTTTTAATGTAGAACTTCAAAAATGCATATACTTCTTCAAATATGCTAATTGCTTTAAATTCAGACATTACATAACAATTTCCTGCCCAGACAAATCTCTTGAGTCTAAGTTTTCTTATACCCAAAAGCAGAATCAGAAACAGATCAGAGTAAAAGTCCCTGAAATAAAACTTAGCAAAAAACATGCAGGACAAAAAGGAAGGAAAGTACTTCTCTACTGACACCGTGTTAAGTTAAAGACAAATAAACTAGAAGAACTATGACAGAGAATTAATATCTGTTATCCACAAAGAGCTCTTACAGATAAAAATAAGTATGATAAAACCCCAAACAAAATAATGAGCAAAACTCAAAAACAGACAATTCACAAAACATGAATTTTGGTCAATAATGAGTAACCAGTGAATAACTAATAATTAGTAAGAAATACAAATTGAAACAAAATAGGTATTCCCCCTTATCTAACTGTCAAAAAAAAGTAGTCTCTTCCATGTTTGTGTAGATATAGGAAAACAGGCAATCAAATATAATTGGTACAACCTTTAATTCAACAATTCCACTAAAATAAATATTTATCCAAATAACTAATTAGGGATATATGCCACGTTTTATTTTATAAGAATGCATATAAAAAGAGTAATTTATGAGAATAAAATAGAAGAAACAACTTAAATATCAAAAAGTAGAGTTCTGATTATAAAATTTTGATATATAGATTATTATAGGTTATGACAGAGAAATATTATATAAGCATTAAAATTCCTTTGGTTTTTATTGTATTTGTGTTTTAATTTTCTCATTATCCAATAAGAAAATTTTATAAACTGTTTGATATAAAAAATGTTATTCAAAAAATAAGAAACAAAGATACTGAAAACACAGAACCATCTTTAAGAAGGAAAGTCAAAAGAGGGACTGTTCATCTTTGCCATTTGAAAAATAATACATCAAGAATTCATAGGCACCCAACCATATCACACTATAGATATACACAGAGTTCTGTCTTAATCTTACTAATCTTTCATTCTTTTTTTTTCATTAATTCATTCTAAAAAATGGAAAGACAGGAATAAAGAACTAAAGGGTTTACTTTATAAATGTTTTCCTCATATAAACTCTTTTGAAAAAGACTTAAAAATATCATGTCCTAAGTTCCTTTGTTATACGTAGGGATCATACAGAAAAAACAAAGAATTAAAATTTACAGTAATAATAAAGAACTAACTCATTTTAAGCGCTAGGTTCATAAGCACTATTATAGCCCTAACCTGTTCACAAATATAATGAAAACGGTTCTAATATTATTCATAGTTAAAACTAATATGGCCCAAAAAAATGCATTAAGCAATCTCCTAAAACACATGTGAATCTTTCAGCTTAAGCAGGATAGTCATCTAAATAGATACTTACCTTATAATCAAAGTTCTCATTTAAGAAGTTCTTACGAAGTGCATCTGAGAGGTACAGAACCGTTGTAATAATAACACTAGTGATAAAAGAGAATATAGTTTAAGTTTAAAACTTCACAGTAGTGAAAATCATTTAGTATATAAGAATAAAAAGCAACTAAGATAAAAGAAAACCACCTTCAGTAAGCAAGTGGAGCAATATTAGATAACTCATGTTTGAAATAAAAAAAGAGACATCAGGCCAGGAAAAAAAAGAAACTTTGCAAGAAATCTATCACTGCAGTTGAGTTTCTTTAAAAAATGATACATAGAAAGATCTATGAATTCTTATGACTCAGACAAAAATACATTATTATCCTGATGTTTTCGTAATGTTTTTTATTAATTTCCAAACAAAGCAAAATGATTTGATACAAAGATAACATTCCATATTTGATTATCATGAAAGAAAGCCATGCTTTTTAAAAGCACAGGGAAAGAAATGGAGTCCAAAGATGCAACGGATAGGATAAAATGATAGAATACACTGAGTATTTATTAGCCTTTTCTTTCGGTTCTCCCCTGTTCAAGGTGTTAGAGGGCATGTCAGAGCTACAGAAGGCAGCTTCCCTTTGACAAGACTGCCACTAAAAAAACAATTACTGCCACTAAAGAAACTATATCCCAGTACTAAGTTGTGTGAAACCGACAGAGTGTTATAGCCATTCAGGGAAAGGAACATCTTCAGGGCAGGAGAAATGGGAGAAAGCCTGACAGAGGGGACACGTATAGCCAAATGCAGCTTGCTGGTGAACATTCCTCCTTAGTTCTAGAGTTCTGTAATTTGTTCAGAATCTGATCATTTTTACAAGCAGAAGAATATATTTTTAAATTGAATGTATTTCCAACAGGTTCATTTAATGTTAAATAAAGCATTATATTGAAGCAAGATAAGCTACCCCCTGGACTACTAGAAACTAAGCACCAATACATAAATGGTTGATATTTAAAACCTCTTGGCCTTTCCTGAGATGCACGTGTAATGCAGTGATGATGTGCTAAGGCCCCAGTTCTTACCACAGGATTTGTTACTAAAGGATGGGGTTGGATGACCCTGGGTAAAACAAAACAAAACACCCCACCAACTTCATACTTTGGTTATCCTACTGTAAAATATAGATTAGAGTAATATTTACTAATTAGAAGAATATTTATAGCCTTTGAAGGACATACATGTTCATTACTGTTGTTATCTGCTAGAAAACTCACTGTTACAGCCTTCTTGAACTCCTGACCTCAAGCAATCCTCCTGCCTCGGCCTCCCAGAGTGCTAGGATTGTCACAGCCTTCTTGAGGGGTAGAGAAACATTAACACAGACAAGCTGAATGGCTCAATATGGAAGTTCAAGGTAAAGAAAGGGAAAGAAAATGAAAGCACCATTTTACGGGTATCTGCTCTATTATGAATAGGCACTGTGTTACATTTTATAGATGTCATGTATACCTTTCAACAAATCTTACTATAAAAGTTGAGTATAAGAAAAATTTATGAGTTTGAGAAATCCTGTGCCTTCTTTAGCGCCCAAAATGGAAGATATCATCAGTGAATTTCATATCAAAGAGATAAATCACCACAAATAACAGTATAATGTGGCAATATTTTATAGACAATGGCAAAATGATGATAACTGAAGAAATCATTGAGGCTCCCAAAGTATTTTACTCAAGTTTTATGATATGAAACTAAAGTTTAATCATCAGAAAGTGAAATGCCATCAGGCAAGGAAGTGGTTCTTTGCCTAGGATCTAGTATATGATGACTGGACTTATAAGTGTACTGAAGAAAAATTTGTTTTCTTAACGTGTGGTTATAAGCACAAACCTTCTGCTTTGACATTCAATGGAAAAATACACACAGTCCCACTACATCCGAGTTTTACATAAAAAAACACCTCTGATCCACAACTCCAGCTCAGATTGTTGTTCAGACACAACAGCTCTAGTATTAGGGAAACACGACATATCTGAGATTTAGACTATTTATTGGGCTGCATATCCTAGAAAGGAGCTAACAAACTCAATCTTCCAAGGGAGAAGGGGTTATTCCATGGCTAAGATTACAGAATGGTTTGTTTATATGCTGGGTCCCAAACACCCAAACAATATTCATGGCTTCTTGAACTGTGTTTGCATGAGCAACATGCAACCTCTGTGGCCTTACTATGGAACTGTGGGTCTCAACCTAGCCTGCGCACTGGCATCATCGGAAGCTTTTAGAATAGAGATGTCTCGATCACACCCCCAGAGATTCTAACGATTGGTCTGGGGTGTAACCTGAACATCAGGTTGTCAAAGCTCCCAGGTGATTCTTACATAAACCCAGCACCGAGAACCACTGCTCTACACTAGAGCGGTGCTGCTCAAACTTTAATGGGTACCTGGTGATCTAGTTAAAAATGCAGCATATGATTCAGCAAGCCTTGAGTGGGAGTGAGTTGAGATTCTCCATTTCTAATAAGCTTCAGCTGAAGCTAATGCTGTTGGTTTGCAACCCGCCCTTTGAAGAGCAAGGCTCTAGAGTAGCCTCAGACAAAAAAAAAAAAAAAAAATTCCAGCAAATTCTGCTAAGCATTCTCCCGACTTCTGGAATTTTAGGCAGATTCTTACGTTTCTTTAACAGTGGATGCAGTTCCTATTTCTAGATTGAACACCCTCATCAGACCTGCTTTACCAGCAGGCACAACGAGGCACAGGGCATAAGGCCTACGAACCTTTCAGGGACTTTGGAAAATATTGAGACCTGAAAAACTGTTATGGAACCAAAGTAAAACTATAAAATAAAAACTAAAAAATGATTAGTTGCATGTCCACAGAAAGTAACATGATGGAATTCATTAACTGTCCAATTTTTAATGCGATTTTTCATGTTAAAAATATTACAGGTTCCTTTTCATAATTTCACCAAAATTTCTAAATACAGTATATATAAATGCTGAGAAATCATAGCCAATCAAAATTAAATGATTTATTCATAGGCCAATAATTTAAGAAACAAATGTAAAAATGCTTTTAATTTTTTTCTGCAACAAAATTATACCAAATGTGGCATGTGGGTCTATGCAATGTTTGATATGAAGAGGAGTAGGGTCTCCAAAAATAAGACTGCTCAGGGCCAGAAAGCCCTTAATATGACCCTATTTCAAACGCTTTTGATTTATGCCTACGACATTCAGTCCAAGTCACAGAGGCAGCTCCCAGAGCTTTCTATGGTAACTCAGCACTGAGACAGTTTCCTCACACATGGGTCCCCAAGCCAACTAAAGGCATTTATACATTACTGCTCCTTCATTGTAGCAGATAACTGTGGTGTTTAGGGACCTTTCTTTACTTGTTCCAATTTATCCAAAGCCATGCGGCTTCTCTGATTTCATTCTTTTATTTATGACACAGTGTCTGAATATGGAGATATTTCAAATCTCAGAGCTCAAACTCAATCGCCAAGAAAGGTTTGCAATCTGCTGCCACAAAGGGCCAAATTACTGATTTCTGCCACAGAAATGCAGGCACAGGGTCATTTTTGACAACCACAATCTATGGACACAGCATGATAAAATTTATACATAAAAGAGTAACCACACACAGGAAATCATAGTTATTGCCTCGTGGTTTTCCCATTGCTGCCTCATTCTTGGATTTATTCTTGGAATTATTTTCAAGCAACCCTATTGCTTCCTCTCACCCCTGGCTCAGAAACCTCATCACCTATAATTTGTTATTTGGAAAACTACTCCAACCTGATAATCTGCTCAGGCACAAGGCCATCTCCAAAAATCATACATGGACTGAGAGAAAGACCTCTGTGGATAAGCCAGGTGTCAGTACTGTTGGTGTTTATATGTTGAAAACCTAAGGAAATCTCAACGTGGAGGACAGCAACTTTCCGAACTGGTGGGTTAACTGGGGTCGGCAAAAATCAGCACAAAGACAATTAGAGCAGATGAAAATCCTGGACAATCACCAAGGGAATTTATCTAAACTTCAGCGTGCAGAGAATTGCCTGAAGGATGCATGAGACTCCAGGGCCTACCCTACCATGTGTGGCTCAGAGGGTTAGCCTGGGGCCCCGCCAGGTGATTTCGATGTCCGTGGTCACCCTTTCTCACTTTGAGGACTGGTGTTTCAGATAGAAGAGAAGACAGATGAAGGCTGGAACTTAGAGAATAACGACATCTGAGGAGTTTGGCCTTGTTTACCACTGTATCACCAAGAGCACAGCCTAATAAATGTTTGTTACATGCCTGTTATCTCATAATTATATTGACTTCTATGCTTGTACTTATTTGCCATATTAGATAATTCTAAAATGTGAAGCTTATAAAACTTTGAATAGGTTTTTTTTTTTTTTTGAGACAGAGTCTCACTCTATTGCCCGGGCTAGAGAGAGTGCTGTGGCATCAGCCTAGCTCACAGCAACCTCAAACTCCTGGGCTCAAGCGATCCTCCTGCCTCAGCCTCCCGAGTAGCTGGGACTACAGGCATGCGCCATCATGCCCGGCTAATTTTTTCTATACATTTTTAGTTGTCCGATTAATTTCTTTCTAATTTTAGTAGAGACGGGGTCTCGCTCTTGCTCAGGCTGGTCTCAAACTCCTGAGCTCAAACAATCCGCCCACCCCGGCCTCCCAGAGTGCTAGGATTACAGGCGTGAGCCACCACGCCCGGCTCGAATAGGTTTTTAGGTCTTTGGAAGAACAGACTGAAAAGAGGCAAAGCCAATCCAGGTGGAGGGCATGGCATCAGCTAAAGCAGGGAAACAGGAAAAGGAGTGATTTTGTTTTTGGACAATGGAGCATGCAGGGTAGCGAGGCAAAAAGAATGATAAGGGATATAAACGGAGTGATTTTGAAGACCTCTGAACCAGTACTCCACTGGGCAGCACTGGGAGAAAATCACTCACGTAGCAATATTTTCTGTTGTGATCTATTAGGCTCAAATCCTAAGGCAGTTTTTCCTCATGTATCCATTCTCACTACCAACTCCCAACTCACAAGGAGGAGATGCTGTGTGCAAGGTATTCTTGTGTAAATATTTGCCATAA